CACCAAGGCACTTCCATCAATAGCAAAGGTCATTTGTCTGCATGTATTTATTTATAACCTTTAATCTACTAGAAATTCTGTATATATTTTAGATTTCTATAAGTTCTCTCTCGTATGAGTGTGTGTGTATGGAATAATGAGTCTTTACCGAAATTCTTGATTTTGTCCAAAGTTATTTTCAAGCTAGAGTCCATGTATAGATGATGCAATCAGACCTACTTGCAGTCAAATTTCCAGTTTAAGTTAAGACCAAAAATGTAGACACAGTGTACCATGAAGTTAATTTGCTATATAGTCTGAAGAGATCAGCCAGATCTAGTAGATGCAATAGTCTGTCAGTATATGATGATGTTTATAGCAAATCAATTCAGATAATTATAAATAAAATTTTTATAAAGTTCTAATGTCTTACTCATAGGCTTGAACATAAACCAATGTTATTCTTACCAGCATAATTATTGGGTGCCTAATACAAGGGCAGAGTCTCAATAATTGCAGTAGGTTGGAATTTTTCTTAATCATACTTATTATAAAACCCAGGTTGTGTGTATGTGTGTGTGTGTCTGTTCGTTTATATATTGGATCGGATTTCCTATATTTTTCAACCAATTTCAACAAAACTTCACAGGACTATGTAAAATTACCTTGCGGTGATTCTGACAGCGCCAAAAAATTGGAAAAACACAATTGTTTTTGCACGAAATCAATTTGAAAACACGATTAAGAGGCATCGCTGTCACGAGAATGAAAGGGGGACAACTCATATCGAGTTATACTTATTATAAAACCCAGGTTGTGTGTGTGTGTGTGTGTGTGTGTTCTTATTGTTTATATATGGGATCGGATTTCCTACATTTTTCAACCGATTTCAACAAAACTTCACTTTTTTTTTTTTGGCAGGTAGTGTTTCTTATTGTCTTGCACACTTTTTTTCTTTATTTTTACATTCAGAATGCTTTAAAAATTCCATTTACAAGACAATTGTTTATAATAAAATTCTATTCAATCGGTAGACTCATAATGATTGAAAACAATGTTTTTGTTTGAGTTTGGGTTTGACCAATTCGTAAAAAAAACAAAAAAAACTAATTAAGACATGCATGTCTGTCAACAATAATCTTTGTCAATCTTATTTTTCAGTCTTTATGATGGTTGATACTTGATCTATCTCTTACTGTTACATCCCCGGGCAACGCCGGGCTCTACTGCTAGTATGCAATAAATGAGGGGGTCTTAATAAAAAGAGATATTTAAGAGTAGAAAGGTATAGAATGAACACCTTTGTCACATCATCAAGATGCAGAGCTGGAACGTTTTATCTTTGAAACCCCTAACCGGTGGGTGGGTTCACATATTTTGGGGCCCTGTTGTGGCTTCTGCCATTTGTTTTCTGCACTGTTTTATGGCCATCTACCATTTTTTTTAAATATTTTTAAACTGACATCACATTGTTAGTCATCAACTAATAATATACATCATGTATGTGCATGGCAAGTGCAGTGCATGCTGCACAGAAGGTTGGAGCCCCAAAAGGGCTAATTTCAATAGAGTTTTTTTACTTATTGTAATTTTTACTTTTTTTCTTCCTAAGTTTTATTGTCAATCATTAACTATAATAATCGACAGGGCTGGTGCTTACTACCCCAAACCTCTCAACCATGTGGGAGCCTCATGCCTAAGTGGGTGAGGGCAAAAATGTTAATTTCAGTAGTGCTTATTTTTTAAATTGTCATTTTCTTTTTGAACAGCTCTTTTAAATCAATTAAGAGGGTAAAATAATTTTTATTCCAAGATCATCGACTAAGTAGGAACTCTAATTGTTTTTTACTCATAGTAATACTAACCAGCAGTTCATGGCTAGTAATTAAAATAAAATTTTTAGTCCCTATTTTTACATTTCTAGAAAGATAAAACCAAGAAAATGATTGCTTAAAAAATAAAAATGTTTAAATTTTTCAACACATGAAAAATTTTCCTGAAAACTGAAATATTGTTTTTAAAACAAATTTTTAAGACAAGCCCATTTGTGTTGGAATCTTTGTAAAACTTTTATTTTCAGCAGAGATGTGTCAGCTATTAATCTTTATGGAAATGTAAAAATTTGCGACTTAAACATTATTTTTCAAATAAACTTTAGTCATGAAAATATTGGTAGTTATTACAAAAAAAAATAACATTTTCTCAGATTTTTTTTTAAAAAAAAAAAAAAATCTATTCATTATAAAAGCAAATAATTAATGAATATGTACTGAAATTTTGTTTTACTTTGGATAATTCCTTGATTTTTGGTAATTTAAAAACGATGCCCTACCCTCGAGTTTTTGTGGCCCACAGGTTGGGAGATTTTTGAAATCGACATGTAGTAGAGAGGTGGGATAGCTCTGACCCTGTCAAGATGCAATGCTGTAGAGAATTCTAGAATAGTTGATTGTTCAGCTTTTATTTTAGATGAATTTCTCTTCTTTTCATTGTAAAATATTTTTGGTAATTTTAGTTTGTCTTGAAATACAAATACATCTCATGCATGCTGTTTACACCATGGAAATTCTTTTCATTTTTATTAATTTGATTTTGATTAAAGAAAAAATTAGAATATTGAAATTACTTGTATATTGCAATGATTCTTTCCCAAACACTAGAACTTGTTCAAGTGAGGCATATCTTTGACTCTAATAATGATGTAAGGTGACAGTGAAGAGGTAAACACAAAAGTAGCAAAGTACTAATAATTAGTAAATAGTTATTTAAGGCATACAAGCTGATAAGTCAATTTTAGCTGCAATAGACTTGCTCCTTGTGAATTATATTAGTTATAATTATTGTATGTTTCATTAATCTGAGATTGTAAACTGAATATTTCTGTTGGTTTACTAAAGAAATTTATATCATTATTGATTTGCCAAGAAAATCAAGAATGACAAAAATTTCACATGGAATTAGTATCATTTGTTATAGATTTTCAAGATTCAAGCAGAAGAGTATTTTAAGTCTAGATTTGAACTGAGAAATTTTCTTCAAAGTTATGGGACTTATTTTTATTATATTATACATGATAACCTTGATTTCAAGTGTGGATGGTATAAGATTGGTTAAATGAAATAAAAAAAAAAATATATTTTAGATATCTTGTATAAACATTTTAATAAGTTACAAATAAAATCTTTAAACTAAAATGTAAATTTGTAATTAGTTTTTATTATTTTCCTTTTTGTTCAACCAAGCTCTAAAATATTAATCATAGCAAATTCACACTCCCATCAAATGTAAAATAAATAAAATTAAATAAATGATACAATAACAAACATCCAAATAAAAACAATGAGCATTTTCAAAAATATTCTTTATTTGATAAAAAGAAAGATCTAATAGAATGGATTGAATTTCATAACTTTTTAGTCGTATCACAGTCAGTTTCAGTATCACAGATGGTAACTTGAGAAATAAAATAAAAATATTAATAGATGTTGAGTATTACAAAGATTCAACTGCAGTTTTCTCTTTCAAGTAAATTCATTCAGCATGCGTTGATAAAGTCTCAAATTTTGCTTTTAGTTTTTTCAGTTGGCTTTTTCAGACTTCTAAGACTTTAAAATATTAGAAAAAGTGAAAGTCAACACTTAATGTTTAGATGTTAAGTTCAATTTACAATTACAAAATTTAAGTATTTTTCCTTTATAACTTTATAGCTAAATCTATGTGATATTTTGGATGATTGAATTGAACTCCATTACTTGAAACTATAAATGTATCAGTTTCCCTACATGCAAGCCACTAGTGGCCTGCTTGCGGGCCACCGATGGCAATGCCAGTGGTCCTCTGGTGACAGCCACTGTAGCGATCCGCCAGTGGTAACATTGCAGAGACAATCCCGTGGACAGCCCAACAGTGGGCCACCAGTGGTAAATACCACCCAGTGGCAGATTGTTGGTTTGCGTGTAGGGTTGATAATTATCATATTTTCATAAACAAAAACCCAATGTCAAATTCATTTTTTATGCTTTTATTTTTAGATATTTGAGTTCCATTTACTAATTTAACAAAAATTAGAGTAACTTTTATGTAACATTGCATTTGAAATTGCTTCTTTATTAAAGCTAATGAATTATTTTTATAGTTTACTTTGAAAGACTTAATATAAAATTAGGTAAAAAACGTTTCAAATAAAAACAAACTTCTCTTATTCAATCTCTTCAGTTAATGGATAATTAAGTTCATTTTTAATCTGAGAGAAAACCCATATTTAAAAGAGACTAAAAGCCCAATCTTTCTCAATAATCAAATGTTTATTTAAGATCTCTAATATCTCTGCATATTTTGATAAAAGAAAAAAATAATCTGGCATTTTTTCACTTAATAATGAAAACAGAATCATTTTGCACGAGTTTTTGATTTATTATTATTATTTTATAATTGTGTGTATGTCTGTGTATATATACATATATGTGTGTGTATGTGAATATATATATATATATATATATATATATATATATATATATATATATATATATATATATTATATATATATATATAGCTATGTATTGGTCTCTATGCTTATTTTGGTTTCATACCAATAAACTATTATTACTGAGGACAAATAGTAAAATTCATCATTCCATTTTCTATGACCAGATTGATACTTTTATAAAGAAAACAGTGTAAAGAAGGAGGCAGATAAACGAGCATGACAACATATGAGTGAAAAGCGTAATCAATTTGAAAGACATTACCTTGTACGATATCTAATATCTTAGAAATTAATTTTTCCCAATTATTTTCTTTGATTAAAAAATTTAAAACTGAAGTAAAGCACTTTCATCTATTTACTTGTTCTTGGTAAATTTTACCAAAATGTAAATTTTTCTTTTATTTCATTTGAATACAATAGATGAAAAAGTGAAAATAAAAAATAAATGTGGTATGAAAATACTAAAATCTTAGAACATTGCTTTAAGCTAGAAGAGTGGGAGAAGGAAAATTTAAATTTGAGTATCATTTATCACTTAACATTTTATAGCCAAAATATTCATAAAATTCATGTTGCAGATGGAATCTGATGGAGGAGAAGATGTTGATGATAGATCATTCAAAAATATATTATTATCCAAAAAGTTTGGAGTGCTGCTTGAGTTGCAAGAGTGTATCACAGAAGAAACTGTTGAAGAATCTGACAAGTAATTAAAGTCTGATAAATTTTGATCAAAATTTGGGAAAGATAAAGAGAAAATTGAAGATGGAGGTGTAATTGAAAATGAGCAGTCTATATTGTTGCCTTCATCAGAGAAAGGGCTTGATGTTTGAGAAACTGTCTCAAAAGTTTTTAGTTCTTTCACAGATTGATTTTCTTGGCTTTTAAATGAATGGTATGAAAGCATTTCTTTGGATGAATGGGAATTTGTCTCATTTTGATTTAAAGAATTATTTTCTTCTGTAAGATCCAAAGACATTTCTGTCATTAGGTGGTCAGAAATTTGAATTGGAATGGAATCTGAAATTAAAAGGAAAAAATGATGATGAAAAAAAATGAAATGAAATTGTTAAAAAAAAATTCAAGATGCAAGTCTAAATAAAATGTTAGCTACTTAAATTACTCAAATAAATTTGGTGAATATCAATTGTCATGATCATTTCCCCACTTGCTTTATTAAAGATGAGGCCATAAAATGAATTTGTATAGATCTAAGTAATCAGATAAATGAGAAACTATGACATGGTATTTAAAATAGAGTTTAAAATTACAGAATACATAAATGAAAATTCAGATATACTTTTTAATCTTAAAGCTCACTTATTTGTTTATATAAATTTCTCTTACAGTAAATAAAGATTTTAACCCTAGAACACTAACCATCAATTAAAGTTACACCACTACTAAGCATAGGTATATCATACCCGATTTTGAAAATATCAAAATAAATATTAAATATAAATCTTTATTTGAAATATTTTACATGCAGCCACTTCAAACTTTGTACTTTGAGTTAACATTAATAGGAACTGAAAAACATTATTTAGGTAAGAAAATCAGGTACTGAAAATTGAAATTACAAATAGAAAATTTGCGTTGGGTATATTATACCCATGGTTAATGTTCTAGGGTTAATTTTGAAAGCATTATGTTAGAACATATTAAAGTAATTGTTACAAAAAGCCTCTTATTGTGAAAATTGATAGTAAATTATATAAAAGTTTGAACAGACATGTTATAAACTTATAAAAACAAAAATATAAAATCTTCAATAATTTAGAAGATGAATTGAAAAAATAAATTTGTGCTAGATATAAATGAAAGGTATTAGAACTGGTTGCATTATGATTATCTTAAGATTCTTTTACATCAGGTCATCATAATCAAAATCTGTTAAAATAAAAACTTGACAGTCGAAAAATTAAAAAGATTAAATATTTGAAGTGTATAAAAAAGATATTGAAATAAAATAATTGTTAAAAACCAGTTTCTTTTATTATCACTAGATTTGTCTAAAGATGTTTACAAAGAGCTATTTAATGTCTTGATAAACAAGTTATAAAGGACCACTAACTTGTGAGTTTCCTCAAAACACTTTAAAACAAGTAAAGCTAGTGTTTTGTGTGTGTTGCTTTGAAGTTTTCTCTTATACCAGTTAACCACAAGGAAGTGCTTATTTGACTGGCTGAAATGAATTGACATCACAAGGATATTCAAATGATTATGAGAGTATGACTAACAACTGTTACCCACTCCTCATATAAATCAGTCAATTGTGTAGAAGCAAAACAAGTCTTCTTAATTCCTTTTCATATTAGGCAGCAGATTTGTCACACACTTTGTTTCAATGTTAATTAAATAAGTTTGCTTTCATAAATCCACTTATTTTTTCTTTCACATTTATATTTGAACCATTACAAATTTCAATTGCTTGAATGTTTCAGAATCATTTTTGTACCAAAACTATTTTTAGACAAGCGTTATATTTTAATGAAATTATTCCACTGTTAATTCCTCATTAACTTTAATAGTTTTATCAGGAATTCTTTTTTTTTTTTACTTTAATTCATCGCTAACTTATATTACAATTATTTTAAAGGAAAAAGTAAAAGCATTTATATTAATATGTGCAGGTGGTGTATCAATTATTGGAGTAGAAAGTGGAACTGTCAAGCAAAGTTCAAATTCTGGCTTCGTCTGCTACATCCACTTTTGCACTGTTTCCCTATGGTAGACTGAGCTCTTTAGCATCGAGCAAGAGCCAGTCTAGAAAGATGACACTGAATTAAAGATTAAAATATACAAAAAAGAAAAAAAAAGAAAAAAGCATGACAATTGAAGGTTGGTATATGCAAGTAGTGTAACAGTTATCAGTGTGGAAAGTAGAATCAATGAGCAGAATTCAAATTCCAGCTGAGTCTGTTGCATTCATTTTTCCATTTATAGTCTTAGGAACAATAGGAATTCATCTTTTTTCCCTCCAGTTATGGGTTAAATAGCAGGGTAGCCTGGCCTCTGTAGCCTTGGATAGCAACTAGTCAAAGGGAAGGAAAACTCAGAAACTGTGGAGAAGGTAACTACTTCACTTTATTCCCAAGAAGTCATATCAATTCCCAGATAAAGAAAAAGAAATATGTAGAGATCCATGATTGCCTATACCCTGAAGGGACATGGCATAAAAGAAAAAAATGAAGGCAGTAACTAAAACAAAAAAAGTTTATGATTTAACCTTTATTAACAATTAATTGTGGTTTATGAAATTTAATTCATTTAAGAAGTGAGAACAAAAGCAGGTCAATCACTTTTATTCAGCAACAATTAACTACTCTTTTATACCTTAGAATTATTTGAAAGACAAAAATCAGATAATAAAAGGCCCTTAAAAGTTCATGACATAAATTGAATTGACTTACTTTTCTGTGACATGATACGACAGATGTAATTTGTAACATGTGAATGACTACCAAGAATTGATTCATCTAAGGATGTTCTGTTTTTGCTGTTGGTTAAATTTAAGTCCACATCTCCCAGCTCCACCAACATCTGTACCATCTGTTTGTGACCACGATAAGCAGCCAGATGACATGGAGTATCTCCATAAATTGTCTTTTTATTTCCATTCGCACCAAGTCTAATCAGAAGTCTAAGGAAAAATGAAAACAAGATACATCAGTAAATAGAAAAATTAGTAAAAAATCAGGTTTATATACTATTCAGTTTTGTTTTTTTTAAGAACACGCACACACACACATATATATATATATATATATATATATATATATATATATATATATATATCAATAATTCCATAGCCTAATGATTAGAACACCTTTTATTTTATAACAAATATTTTGCAATACCATCTCTTACCTTGTCAATACATTTAATTCAGTAGTGAACATTAATCACATAGATTAAACATAATACATTGAATATTTCTGATCAAAATTTAGCTAAAAACTATATGTCAAGCTATGAGCTTATTGATTTATACTCTTATGGGCCAGAAAGTCATTCCATCATGACAAAATGAGATTGATATTTGTGTATTAGACTCAATGAATTAAAGGTTTCTAAAATAATTTTGTGTGGTATAACTTTTTATTCAATATTAAAGGAAAGAAAAAGGAAAAGAATCATGAGGGGGTACTGAAAACTTCTCATCCCAACCAAGAAGTGAGTTCAAAAAATTCTGATGTATGGTTATTTGGTCCGATTTGGGGAAATTAGCTAGGCTGAGCTTTTTCATAAGCTGTACATTGGAATTCTGTGAGTGAAATTCATTAAAATTACAATTGAAGAATTTTATTCAGCTACTGAATGTTCAATCAGCCAGTTTAGATATGTTACATAACCCTAGGGATAGAATTTCCAATAAGTAATTGTTTTTTATATTTAATTGGGTTATTTAAAATTTTAAAAATACAGCATTATTTTAGTAATATATAAAATATTTATTTAATTAAATTTTATTTGGCTTGATTAAACTTTCTTATTCACTTTCTTATCAACCCTTTGCAGGTTGTATTTTATTTGAAGTGAATATTTTCTTCATCATATTTTATCAAAATCCGCACAACCAAACATATAATTTTGACTAGACTTTTTATTTTATGACTTGTAGAGATTTTATTTGTTTAATCTGTTACTTTTTAATTTTTTATGGTATAAAAAATTACTGAACTTAAATCATCACTGAACATCATTACATTCCAGATGAAGCCAAAATAAATTTTAACAAATAACAAAATATAACATATTTTAAATAAACAAGAGAAAAATATATAATTGTTATTAAAACAAAAACAAACTATTTGGTTTATAAATAGATTTAAAAAAATATATATATATATATATATATATATATATATAAATATATTTAAAAATACATCTATGTGTCTTTTTTCTTTATCTCTCTCTCTCTCATATACCAATACATATTTTATTACTAGCAAAGTTTTTTAAATATTTTTTGTATCATTGTCTTCGACTAGACTTGGAAGCAGAAAGAACACTCAATAAATGTTGACTTTACAGACCATATTTATCAATTTTTATCTCATCGGATGAGATTTTGCATTTATACAGAAAATTTTAGCACTTCATAATGTTTCAATAATATAATTAAAATGATTATATGGCATCAATATTTGATTAACAAATCAGAAAGTTTGTATGATTTTAATAGTTTGCCTTCTAGAACATTTATATAATTAAGATCTGCCATATAATATTCACCTATAATTTGGCAAGGAATATTTGGGAGTAAAAAAAATAATAGTATTCAACTAATGATTTATCCATATTTATAATTTTTATATTTTAACATTACTTTGATTTGTAATCATAATTCAAACATTTCTAATATATAGTTTTAGTCTTCAAAAAACTAGTAGTATGTTTAACTGTTAATCTATTATCAGTAAACCAAAAGAAGATTTTGGTAAATATATCTAATATGGCAAGACAAAATGGTCTACACCTACAGATGACAATCTTATTTTTATCATTTGCATTGTTTAATTATGTAATTGAAGACTAAGTAAATATTCAAATTTTTAAGCATACTTTATAAAGTAAAAATAAACATGTAGACAATGTGCAATAGTAATTTCATGACTTCAACAGAAAATGACTTAAATCAAGCAAAGCAAAAGAAAAAGTAATTCCAAACTAATTTAAATGTTCCTTAATTTGCAACTACTACCTTTTGAACAACAATAATAACCAACACTCTTGAGTTATTTTAAAGTTAATGTTAAATGATAGTTCTTGTTTTAATTACATTTCATTTTAATCATAACACAGTCTAAATTCTTACCTTTCTTTATAGCCACATTCAGAATCACTTATCTACCAGAGACATTATACTAGTTTAATTATTTTTACATCAAATCAATAATAATAATTAATAATGTCATTAATATAACATTTAATGGCTGAGATTAGACATTCTCAATTTTCACATAGTTTTATTATTTATACAATTTCCACCTAAGATTTCTTTTTATTTTCATGATTTCTCATCTACATGCATATAACCTTATAAATAAATTTCTTCCACTCATAATACAGGGAATGAGAAACAGCAATGAACTAAATCGATGTTATTGATGACATAAGTTTCATCTTTTGCTTTTAAATTTTCAAAAGGTGAATGATCATATATAATTTCCATAAAAAATATATTTAATGAAACTTTTCAATTTTGCATGAGCAACTTTCAATGGCAATGTTTCAGAATTGTAAGAAATTTGTTGTCCAAGCAATGAGATTAAGTTTAGGCTTGTTGATTCATAAGAATATAGCAAAGGAATTTCTATAATTTGTTGAAATAGATAAACATATGTCTTCATGATAATTACCATGAGATCATTGGCTACCCCATTAAAAGATTTTTTATTATTATGCTTTCATTTTTCAAATATCAATCCAAGAATCATTTGTTAATGAGTTAACTAAAAAAAACGTTAGTTTGAATTTTAGGAGAATCTTCCATAGGAATAGCAATACAAGTTCTTTATTTTGATATTTGACAAGAAGAAAATTGTTTTAGTTTGCATGAAATACTAATTTTATTGCTGAAATTGTTTCTGCTAACTCATAGAAAGCAAATAAAAAATTGTCTATTGTTATTTTAAACATTTTTTAATAATTGGTTTTGTTCTTTAATTTCAGATTGTCTCAGCTGTTTTTTTAACATGGGTATTCTCAAATATTTTTCATTATTGCTTTTTCCTGGCTGAATACAAATTTATATGAATTAATGAGACTTAGTGACATTGATTTCTCCTAGATTTTTGTAGAAAAAAATGAAGTTAGATTACATACAAAATTTAATTCATTTAAGGTTACATGAGAATATTGATTGAATTATACAAGTTCTTTCAAACCAATCTTTGCATCTCTTGATAATAAATGTTATGTTCCTAACGAACCTCAGTTCCTTTCCTAACAAAATCTTAGAATAGGTTTTACAACTGTATTTTATACAGTTTTATTTGCTGTAAGAATTAAATCACATATTTAACTACTTTAGGATGAAAAAATATCATACAGCAAGTTTATTTAAGGAAAATTTGAAAATTGTCTGATGAAAGATTAAGAACCATCAAAAATTTAAATACATACATAATTGCACAACAAACAAAAAAATTAAATATTTACATTTTACATTATCATCAAAATATATTTTCAGAATAATTTTAAATCTTTATTTTTATATTTTTTCAAATGTTATTGATAAAAAATATCACCTGTTCTTTATCAATAACCGTTGAATCATTTTAAAACTACATTTGTGTTTTATTTTTTAAAAAATATGACAGGTCATTCATTTGAAATAATTAAAAAGCATTCTGCTTTCTTTAAAAATGCTTTTCACTCTCTCTCATGTATTTGTGTGTGTACACATGTGTTAAAATGTGTTACATTTATAAGGGAAGAGTGCTCAATGTCAGAGACAAAGCATTATAAACAGTGTTGACAGAGAGAGTTTAACACTTCATCAGGGTGCGTGTTAGTTTCATGCTTCAAAACAAAGTGAAACTGTCAATCACCGTGTAGTATTGATCCCTACTGTCTTGCTGGCTGCTTGGTCAATGAATGCCAAATATTTCCTTATAAGAAAAGAGCTAATTACCGATGTTGAAAAATGAAATTGAAAAGTATACAAGAAAAACGTAAACAGTTTAAAGGACTTTAATAGTCATGGAAATAATAATTTTATTTCCTTTTTTTTTTTTAGTCATTTTAACTTAAGTATTTTGATTGGTGAAATCAAGTGCCAGTACAAAGCAAGATCCCATTGCCAACAACTAGCATTTTGAAGAGAATTATTATTTCAGGAAGAGTTAAAAATAAAAAAGACTATTCAACTCATTCATTCTTTACAAAGTTGAAAAAGTAAAAAAAAAAAAAAAAAAAGCAACTCATAGAGAAATTTCAATAACAAATACAGCTTCTTACTCTTTTTAGTTATTCAATCAATATTAAAAATAAAATCAAATTAGGCAGGGACATTTTTAGACAAAATTTATATTCTAATAAAAAATGCTCTGTCTAATTAATTCTAATATAAAACGTACTAAATAGTTAGAAAATCACATTATTTATTTCATTTTTTATTTTGCTTTGATTGAATATTGCAATGTAATCGTTGGTTAAAAAAGTAAAAACTAAGAACTAATTTTGAAAACAGTTTTTTTTTTGCTATCTTTTAAACTTTAAATCAAACAAAAAAATCTTTTTAAATTTTATTTTTGATTTATTTTTAATTTTAATTTTTACAGTTAAACAAAAACAAAGAGTAAGTTACTGTAAAACTTACAGTTTACTTTAATTTAATTTATTCTAAAATTAAATTATTTAAAAAAAGCAATTTTCAAGATTACGGATACAGCATTCTAAAAAGTATCTCACGGCCAATAAAAATAAAAATATATTAAAAAATAGAATATAAATAAATTATTAAAAAAAAAACAATTAACGGCAGTTAGCTGTGGAAATTATAAGTCAAAAATTGTGTATAATTAGAAAATTAATGAACTAATAAATGCCATACAATGATTTTTTTTCTTTTTTAATATTAATAAAATATAAATTTAAAAAAAAATCTACTAACCGGGCAATATGCAAATGGTTATTATCCGCTGAAGCGTGCAACGGAGTAGCATGCCATGCAGTGCACGCTTCCAAGTTTGCGCCATGGAAAATTAATAAATGTACAAGTTCACAAAATCCATTTGAACAAGCCCAAAACAGAGCCGTACCATCCTGGCGTGGATCCTGAGAATCGATATTTCCATAAAGATGTTTATTGAGAATCGTTTTTGCTAAAACAAGATTGCCACTTTTTACCGCACTTAACAATGTGCGAGCCATTTTTGTTCAAAACGTTTTTTTAGTACTTTGTGTACTGTATTGGTGGTGTTTTTATTTCTCCACTGCTTCAAGTTGCCTGTTCTGTTCGTCTTTACCGCTGTAGTGTAGACAAAGGAGTGGTTTGGTTGGTATATTTGGTGAGCTTTAAATTTCTTATATTTATATCAGCTGTTCATCATTTCCGCCTGTTAACAACCAACCAACAACTCCGTCAGTGTTATCAGACTAAATGGGTAAAAAAAAAAAAAGAAATAGTTCCTGGTACGTACGAGTACACACACTTCAGCGAATGGTAGACGTTTAACCAATCGCTGAACAGAAAGAAAGACGAGATTTGGGATGTGGGCCGGCCGGACATAACTGTTGTTGGATGTGTAGGGATTACAAAAACAACTAAAAATTTGGCCTATCAAACTGACTTTTTGACACTAAAATTGAATTCATTCTCTAGTGAGTCTATTCCGAAAAAAGTAGAAAAGAAAAGAAACTAGTTTATCACATTCCACACTTTCATGCGAACAACGGAGATTCAAAAACCCTCGGGGAATATTTATTGATTATTTTAAAACCTGTTTTTCTAATTTATCTATCGGTGTTCAGTTCAAAAATCAAAATAGATTTATCTGATTTAAGGGCAAACTGGTAAAAAAAAAAAAAACCTAAAAAGTAACGGATTCGTTAACAATGGTTTGGGAGACGACTTTTCTAACAATTTCTCCGCAGTAAATTAAATACCACAGTAGTACTCTAACTCCTATTCTTAGTTATTGAGTGCAACTAGCAGTAGTGCGTGAGAATATCAACTGTCACCCACAAACTCAGGTGATACGGGTAACGTCATAAAAGAAGGATATTCATCGTTGAGTGGGCGCATTAAAAATTCCTAAACCAGCTACCGGAATTCTCAGCCTCACAACGTTCATACATTGAGGATGGTTATTTCCACGTAGTTATAACAAAATTAGTTGTTTGTTTTTGAATTAAGATCTTCATTAATAATTCCTTGTAATTATTTTTTAGGGTCAGATGAGAAAACACAAAAACAATTTTTTTAAAACCCCAGTTTGAAAATCTGGCATTTATTTTACTTTTTGGTATGAAACGCCATAAAATCTTTTGGAATAAAGATTTCTCAAGTCGACCTATGCAATGATGGAGACTTCTCAGACTGAGAGTATGTGTTGCAATTTCATAATTTGTTGGCTGGCGAATAGCGTAATCAAATTAGAGTTAACCAGGACATATGTTTTTAATAATCTCTCATTTTATCCAAACACGTGTCGTACAGTAAGTCAATAGTACTATTACCGTTTGTACATACAAAATTTCGAAATTGGAAGCCCTAATAAATTTTGTTCCCTGATTTAAAATATACTAACTTTTTTCTACACTTCTGATTATCACAAGGCCGAAATAATTGCGATTTTCTATGTGTAGCTTATATGTGGCACAAGGCCGAAACTATGAGCACCTAGTGAGGATAGAACTCACTTTTCAGTTGTAATTGATCGAGCGAGACAAGCTTGCTAACCATTACACTACGTTGAAGTGCAAGGCTGAAATAATGAGGGAGAATAAGATTCTGGTGACTTTGTGTTGCGTTCTTATCTTGAAAATCAGCATTCGGTAATCCGGTTTTTGACCCGAACTAGATTACTAAAACGCGCAAGTTTGTTAGCCGCTCATAATAGTGGGGACACTCTGACGTGGTGTAAATGGTTAGCAAGCTAGATAAATTACGACTACGTACTGTGTTCGATCCTCACTGGGTGTTCCACACTTTCGGCCTTGGGCCACATCTAAGCTACGTTTAGAAAATCATTTTTAGAGCACTTCGACGTGATGTAATGGTTAGCAAGTTTGCCTCAATCCTCACTTGGTGCCCTATTTTCGGTCGTGCCACATCTAAGCTACGCTTAGAAAATCACCATAGAATAATAGTAGAGATTTAAAAAAAATCATGTTCATGCCGATAGCGTTACTGAGTCGAATGACCAAAATCAGGCGTATAGGCTCCGTGTGGCACTTCCGACAGCGTTTTAAAATATTCGGAAATAAAATTCATATTATTATTCAACTACTGACAGTGCTTCCCTCGCATTTTTGAAGGGCCTCGTTTTGGGCCAGCACTTGCTACTTGGAAACTATAAATACCAAAGATAAAAAAAAGGAAGAAGTTAGAGAACTGACACGTTGCCATTGTACTGTGTGTCAAGGCTGGTAGGGTTCGCTGACTGTGCCGATCTGCTCCTGGCTGTTACGTTTTAGGTCTCGTCATTGACTGTTACCTTTCAGATCCTTCTGTTGACTGTCCGATTGCAGACCTCGTCGCTGTTTTTATGCCTTATGACGAGTTGGTGCTCGGCTCATGAAATCTATCTGATTTTTCGCGGAAACGTACTTTCCAGGTCATTTGGAGTTCAACCGCGCGGACGTCATAGAAAGCACATTACGAGACCTGTCATATCCAATCAGATTCTAGAAACTAATTATTTAATTTTGGAGCCGTATTTCGTACAGAATTGTGGTTTCTTTTCGTATCTACTAGTTTTAGTAGGATTTATTTTTGAGCGTCTCTTGTTTTGTGCTTCACTTATTGACTGTAAAATATAGGAGTTTATATCCTATATTCTCCAACAAAATGACGTACCTACTTTTCCATTCTTCTCACGGGTTTGTGGAAGACATCAAATAAATGGTTATTTGTTATTAAATAATCTGTCTTTAGTTTCATTCAAAAATTCACTTGTTTAATTGTAATGCATTGCATAACTATTACTGTGTTACGTCGTTTTCAAAGTACACAGAATTGTCTTATTCCGGACTGCACCCGGAATAACTTGCAATCACAGTTACCTAAATTAGATTGGGCAGCAACAACGTATCACGGCATCAAGAAAAAATAATTATGAAGGTAAAATAAATCAAGAAAATTTAATTAAATCCTGAGACTGCATTCAAGAAAATATATCGCTAATTCCTTTAAAATTGGACAGGTACGCTCTCTACTCTAAATTAAAATAAAAAACACACTATTTACATTATTCGGACTATTGTGCTCATCTTTCTCGCCATATTTATTACAGCGTTTCGGTCGTTGTACGCTCCGGCCTTCTTCAGGTGGTTGGAATGTCGAATTGAACCCTTTATTTTGCTCACTGGGGGAGACTGTTCTAGTTTTACGTGCCATGTTTTAATGGATATCAGTTATCTCCTGTTAATTCCCCTCTCCACTGCCTTAACCGGGTATTGAACTCACACTTGCCACTGGATCTAACTAACGTCTTTATCCACTGTGCCTTGTGTCCTTGAGGACATCTGTGTATGAATTTCTGGGTATTATAAAACATGGCACGTGGAACTAGAACAGTCTAAAAAGGGGACTAAAATTAGTTCAGCAGAAGAGAATCTGATATTTTTCAATTTCATGAGTTCTTAAGTCATTTGGAGTAAAACAAAAGACTTATTTATTTTTTTTATTACAGAAACCGACCAGCTGGTGCCATTCTACAATGGCAACCGTTATATTGCAAAATGGCACCACTTAAATTCTTAGATGCTGTGACTTTTTAAAAGATTATTTAGGAAAATAAGGGTGTTGTGTTTTCATGCTTATTTGAAATGATATTTTTGTAAAGTGATTTTATTTTATATACAGACGTGTCTGTAGGTAGAATGACGGCATAACTATTTCACATTCGAAACCAGAAATAACACCCATATTTATTTCGAGGAACATGAGAAAGCTTCCATTAAAAAAACAAACAAACAACGATGACATCGTACAAACATTAGTCAATAAGTTGGCTATATTTTCTTTGACATTTATTCTTGTGGCGACGTTCGCTAGCAGATCAAATTCCATTGGCAACAAACCCCTCCTCTTTGCATAGATTGTAGTGTAGCCATTAGCCAATATGCCCATATTTTAATAAGTCAACATTCCAGAGAGAAAGAGAGAGAGAGAGAAAGAGAGAGAGAGAGAGAGAGAGAGAGAGAGAGAAGGAAGGAAGGAAGGAAGGAAGGAAGGAAAGTCACGTTATTTCTTTCGCCATAACTTTTCCTGCATCGAAATATAAACGTATTCTCAGTGAAATTCATACAATATTTAAGTTTTAACGGTTGAGAGAATAAGAATCAATTATGAAAGGGTCCTGAAAAGTTCTCGGTTCACAATTCAACACGCTTCGGCTTAAATACATCGTTTCTCAAATCCCCTGAGTCTTCTTAACCTATAAACAGGGTTGCACAAGTAATATAGTAAATAAGTTTTCATTGTTTTAATATTGAAAATATTTATTTAGTTTTTGTACAACAATTATTTTGTATGCAAAACGTTGATTTTTTGCGATGTATCTTTTTATAGTTAAACTATTTTATCTTAAATATTTTTAAAATGATCATGTGTCTGATATAGATAAAATTCATAAACTGTAGTATATGTGTGATTACTTACATTTACGGATATGTTGTCTGTGATAAAGGAGAAAAACAAGTATATGTGTATTGAATTCGAGAAGCTGTCATATAGTTTCAATTCTTTGTGAGTCTTTTGATCTCTAGCCTGCTTCGCTCATCAGGGAAAGAGAGTAGCATGGCATATATTTCTGTAGATGTATCGACTAACTACGACTTGTTGCGGAGTCTCTGTTGTTAGGATAAAAATTTGAAGGCTTTTGAATTTATTCAAACCAACAGCAATTTGTGAACATTTTCTTTTAAACTTCATGATCCGCACATTTCTTATACTTTTGGCGGCTTTTCTTTGAATCTTGCCATTATTATATAGATTTCCCTTCTTTTTCCTTCTTTAATTATTAAATTTTGAGTAGTATTACAAACACTTCTAAAAAAGAATTCTCTAACTGAAATACAACACTGCAGCTGTTATCCCTTCCAAATCATTCGTAAGTTTCTTTCTTTTCTAATTCTTAAGTTTTGTAAACGATGGCGCAAAATCTGGTGAATAGGGTCGATGTTCGGTGCACTTAAATCGCTAATTCTTCAAAGCTTACCACCTTGCTAGCTTTGTGCATTACCCTGCAACTCTTGTTTAATCTCGCGATCATAGTTGCATCATTATGTTTCATCAACAATGACGAGTTGTTCGAATTTTTAAAAAATCGCTCAAAATGCTGCAAAATCTATTTGGTGGTACCCATTCGATATCATTTATCGACAGCATTCATACATTTTGACACCCACTTGGCTGACAGGTTTTGCAAGCTCAACTGATTCCCAAATAACTATGACTGGTACTTCTCACCTAATTTTGCATCAGCTATGTAATAAATGCGAACATCAGTGTGTTATTGTATCACACTTTTTCAGTTAAAGGGACACAACTCTTTAATTTTTAATAGCTCATCTTGTATGTAATAAATGCGAATGTCAGTGTGTCACAGTTTTTTCAACTTTACTCCTAGATGCCGTAGCCCAACATATTATACCATTTTGGAATCAGAACCGACTCCGTGAGCAAATTAAAATCATTCCGGGCCGGATCAGGACCCGCTGTTCTGAAATTTTGGATTCTCAAGTTTTCAATAATTTTTTTGTACGATAACAATTTTTATAACTTGGAAAATATTTGAGAATAATCGAAATTAATTGCTAAATCCAGCGAAAATCACCCATGAAATAAAAATAATTGTTTGTACTAAAAGTAAGGACCGATGAATTTGTTGCTGTCATTCTTGAGGGTACGGCAAAAGACACTAAAGCTATACTTCTTAGAATAGATGCTTACGGAACGAAGACAACTACAAAGAATACACACAAAAAAAGCCCTTCTTGGGCATTAAAAGGTGAACCTTATACAGCAAGTATCGACACGTACCAAAAGAAATACAATAAAAACGATCTCAAAACACTATCGATTTTCAGAAAGAAATTATCTCATGTGTTCGTGAGATTTCTGTTTAGATGGGAGTAATTTAATGAATGGCTATCGTTCGTTGCAGTATACTGGATTGAATTATTTCGACGACAACAACAGAGCATCGCTCATATCTAGTCGTAATTTTTCATTTTTCAGATGAGGAATTATCATTATTATATACTTTCCTATTCGGGCCAGCATGCCTACGTTCAAATTATGCTGGAAAGCCCGTATGTTCATCTTAGTTGTTATACTCAGACCACTTTCGCTATTTTATCTTCCAGTTTTCTTCCGGTATTTGTCTTGGTACTCGGTAACCTTTTTGAAATTTCCAACCGAGACCTTTTTACAGGCATATATTGTACTAATTAGTATCAATTAGTACTCATCAGTCTTATTCACATTTGTGTCGGTTATTCGTCTCTTCTACTCAGTAGGTACGTGGAGTTGTGGATTAAAGCGTTGAGTACAACATACTCGGTTACCTGGCAGTTATGAGTTCAATCATTGGGTTTGGTAATGCTGAATGCTCACGTATTCCGTTTCCATGGGGTTTCAAATCTCTTATCATTCTCTTCATAAGTTCTTTTACATCGAGTGAAATTTGCAAAGAAACAAACATTTATTAGCGTAACAAAAATATTTTTATAATATTCAAATTGTACAAAATACAATCTAGGCCTTAATCAAGATTCCTCTTGTGTGCCTTAAACTGTCAAGGCAGTTCATTGTAAATAACAGATTATGAAGGCGGATTAACAGCTCTTTCTCATAGAAAACAACTTCATGAAAAAGATTTTTTTCTTAAAGGAATATTAACTTTCTTTTAGAGAAACAGTTCATATAAATCAATTTTTTTAGCAATTAAAGAAATTTATTTACTTTGAAAAGTTCACAATCTAAAATGCGAAGGGCGGGGATATAAAGGTTAATATTTTCCCAGATCACAGCTTTTTCATCCGGGTGTTCAAAAACTTTCTAATTCTGCAGCCCAAATTCCTTCATATAGCAAACAGGTAGCTCCAACCGAATCAAAAACCAACTCCTTAGGAGAGGTATACTTTCATCATTGGTTAAGAATACGAATTACTATTCAATCAAATCCGGGCCCCCGTTTGAAATTTAAATTTGGTTGGTTTTTGACAGCATCAAAGCCGACTCTATCCACTATAAAATGTTGTCACTGAATATTTACATCAATGTCTGGCTTACTTTTTTTTCTTTTAATAAACAGTCTGGGTTCAATTTGGACGTTTCTTTGAAAAAGAAACCGTGTTAGTAACATTCTAATTTTCTTAATTAACTTTTCATGCAATTTAATATTTAAAATATTTTTCTATATTAATTTTTACAAAATTCCAACATTTTAATATTTTTCACATACAATTTTGTTATCGTTTTTATGAAAATTAATTTTTAGCTGAACTAAATAGTAAATTAAAAGTGAAGTAAGCAAGGAGACAATATTTGGCTGACTTTCCTCGGCTTTCGCCGACTGAAGCGGCTAGCTGCGAGGGTGAGATCACAGAGGGTAAAGTTCACTTGGCATTGAAGAAGGTCGGCAGTGGCAAGTCTCCGGGACTTGAAGGTTTGCCTACGAATTGTACTTGAGGCTGTTGCACATCTTTGTTCCGATTTTGACTGCCGTGTTCAACAACTGGTTTCGGCAGGGGTCCATCCCCGACCGGATCTCCAGGGGCGTGATCACGCTGTAGAACAAGGGCATGGGTTTTGGGCGGGATTTAGACGATTACAGGCCCATAACTCTGCTAAACACAGATTTTGGCCATGATCCTGACGGGGTGTTTGCAGTCTAGCTTGTTGTGACCTGAGGAGATTTGTGCTGTGAAGAGATGAATAATTCAAAGAAACCTGCATCTGATCCGCACGATCACAGAGGGTGTAGAAGACGATGATGAAGCCACGCTAATCCATTTAGATCTTTCCAAGGCATTCGACAGGGTCGACCATCAATACCTGGCTGCTGTGCTGCAGGCCGCCGGATTCGAACGCGACTTCTGCAAGTGGTCCTGTATCGCTTCCCCAGTGCTGTGGTACAGGTGAACGGAAAGCGGTCGAGAGCTGTCTCTGTCGGTTCGACAGGGTTGACCGCTGTCGCCCTTACTTTACGCTTTGGTGTTGGAGCCCCTACTTCGCCGGCTGAGGGACAGGGCGTCCAGTCCGGAATCGCTATCCCTGGTGGGGCTTGAGCTAGTGTTTCTGCGCACGCCTATAACGTATCCATTTTCGTGACGTGCCGCAGCGACATTGAAGTACAGAAGGCGCTTGAACGGTCGAGAAGGCGACAGGGCCAAGATTAACCGTAACAAGTCTTCCGGCTTGCGGTTAGGTGTCTGAAAGGTGGTCGATCTTCCGGGACCCTTTGGTTGGACGGACGGCCCTGTCCGCATTGTTGGAGTGTGGTTTGGAGCCGACTTTCAGCTGGAGTAAAATTGATCAGAAGTTCGGGCAGAAGGTCGGAGCATCGGTTGGGACTTGACTCCGAAGGAGGTTGTCCTTGAAGGGTATGGTTGAGGCGTGTGCCACTTATGTCTTTCCTCTCATCCTTTACCGCTTGGCTCTACTTCCTCCTTGCAAGGACCGTAGAAAGGCAAAGAGCGCTTGTTGTCCACCCTCTTGGTCTGCAAAGAATGCTGTATCCAGCGTCCGTGTTATGGGCGGGGGGCTAGGATTGCCACACTTGGTGAGTCATCGACACGCCTTTCCTACGCCGCGTTTTGACTGAGGGTTCGATTTTGGCGGGGAGTGTTAGTGTCTAAGCTGGTCAGGGATTGTCTAAGTTAGTCATAGCCGGTCGTACCACCACTACGTAACGCAACGGTGGAGGGAACGCAAGGTAGGAGAGAAGGCCTGCAGCATCCATCCACACGGGGAAAAACCCACTTCTGCCAATCCCTCCGAATGAATCTGGCCTTTGATTTTCCTGTTCTGACATTTATTTTTATCCTTCAGTGAGTGTTCTTCTAGATTCTGTCTATCGGCGGAATACAGCGGCCACTCTTGTTATTTTGATGGGTGGTCGGATCTCACTAAAATTTATTTTGTTTTAATTGTATATTTTTGTTACTTTTTTAGTTAGTTTTCTGGGTTCATCCCCTCTCCATCGTTTCATGATTCATGAAGTTGTTATATATTTTGGATCAAATGTTTATGTCATGGAT